TATTAACGGGGAGAGAGTTTACAGTGTAAACACATTCCAGTGTTGGTTTACATAAACATAGACCCGTTCACCAACAGACGGATTATGCTATTGACCCGCATAACGGCGCCAAACCTTCTGACCTTCAGTATTTGTTTACCTGCACACATAGTCAGTCCCCGGAGGACTTAGTTGGACTTATGAGCAGCAGCGACCACAACACTGCTGCCGGTGTTTCAGTGATCCTCATGTTTGGTGTATTTATAAGGCAGAAATTCTCAAACAATTTATAAACCATTAAGGGTCCAAGACTTTTTATGACACTCAAAATATAAGGCCATTAACTTGCTGGTCTCTGTCGGCGTTTAACTGGGCTGTGATTCACACTACATACTGCTTGCTGCGGCGTCTAACAACCTGGTTGACCAGACATTCAACCAGGAGACCCGGTCGAACACCAGGCCGCGGAGACATTGATCCTCGGAACCAACTCCAAGAATGGCGAGAATATACACCAGAATAAATATAGAAATGCGCTGGTCACCCGGATTAATTACGACGCGTGTGTGCTGCTCCGGACCCCCCCCCCCCTCCACCCGGTAAATCGTCAAGGCACCAGAGCGAACTATATGATGTTTGGGGTCACCTATTGCGCCAACAATCCATAACCATCAAGGAAATTGGCCAGTGTGCGGCACCTGTGACCTCACGTGTGACCTCAATTTGGCAGGGAATGACTTATCAACTCCCTGGCTTCGCCTCGACAGGTGACGAACGACCTGTAATTAATCTCTCGTCTCGCTCATTCTCTGCACCCACAAGGCTGGAGTAGCATCCCAGACCTGACAAAAGTATGTACCCCTCGACGTCATTGCTTCTATATAAACAAACTTAACCTAACTCCTCATCCTCGCTTCATACAGGTCGGCGTTCAATCCCCGACCGTCCAAGTGGTTGTGCAACATTTCTTTCCCACCCCCTCCTTACATCTCAAATCCTTATCCTGACCCCCTACCAAGTGCTATATAGTCAAAATCGCTTGCCTATTTCACGTAATAGTTCCCTTCCCATCCTAAGACATCCTAAGACATCCTAACCTCTTTTAAGACATGCTAACTCCTCCTAAGACATCCTAACACACCCTAAGACATCCTAAAACACCCTAAATCCTCCTAAGACATTCTAACACATCCTAACCCCTCCTAAGACATCCTAACCCATCTTAACCCCTCCTAAGACATCCTAACACATCCTAACTACCTTCTATGACATCCAAATACATCCTAACCCCCCCTAAGACATCCTAATCCATCCTAACCCCTCCAAAGATATCGTAACACATCCTAACTCCTCTTAAGACATCGTAACCACACCTCAGTGGCTATGTGAGCCCACCACCATGAGTGAGGGGAGCCAGTGACGCTGGCATACAAGGTGCAGACTCCTGGCCCCTCAGGTGTGGCACCTGCTGGACCTAGCCAGAGTACTGCTGGCTTCGATTCCCGGACGGGACAGAAATGATTGGGCACTTTACCTTTTACTTAATGCATCTGTTCACCTAGTGGTAAATATGTACCTGGAAGTTAGGCAACTGTTGTGGGGTTGGATCCTTGGAGGGTCAGTAGTTCGACCTGGGAGGGGAGGGGGGGGGGGTAGCTCGATACAGGCCTCAAGTATATATTCACAGTCTTCCTGTTCCCGACAAAACGAAGTATGTTTGTCATTGTGGCTGGCTTAACAGCGTGTCCTCTAGACTTGCCACTCCGTTAAAAATGCGACCGTTTGGCCTAACCTGACGTGTACGGAACCAGCCACCCATCTGACCCATCGAGACCGATGCCCAGAAAACGTCAGTATCGCAGCACTTTAAGTTTAATTAATACGTCGCAATTTTAACGGAGTGATAGATTGGTTAAAAAGATGTAAGGTGTGGAGGTCGGGGTGACTACTATGTACTCACGCATGTGGCACAGTGCCAGTTTCAGTGCCACTCACAGTGCCACTCACAGTGCCACCCGCAGTGATGTGGTGGACGCTGACTCCATACACAGTTTCAAGTGTAGATGTGATAGAACCCAGTAGGCTCAGGAACCTGTACACCTATTGATTGACGGTTGAGAGGCGGGACCAAAGAGCCAGAGCTCAACCCCCGCAAGCACAACTAGGAGAGTGCTTGCCCCTGGCTTGACGGGGGAGAGTGGGGAAACATGAGGTTCTGTTTGTCTAGGCGTCTAGGCTTGGTGTGTGGGTGAGTAGTGTCCTGGTCCACTACTCTGGTGGGTGTGTGGGTGAGTAGTGTCCTGGTCCACTACTCTGGTATGTGGGTGAGTAGTGTCCTGGTCCACTACTCTGGTGGGTGTGTGGGTGAGTAGTGTCCTGGTCCACTACTCTGGTGGGTGTGTGGGTGAGTAGTGTCCTGGTCCACTACTCTGGTGGGTGTGTGGGTGAGTAGTGTCCTGGTCCACTACTCTGGTGGGTGTGTGGGTGAGTAGTGTCCTGGTCCACTACTCTGGTGGGTGTGTGGGTGAGTAGTGTCCTGGTCCACTACTCTGGTGGGTGTGTGGGTGAGTAGTGTCCTGGTCCACTACTCTGGTGTGTGTGTGGGTGAGTAGTGTCCTGGTCCACTACTCTGGTGTGTGGGTGAGTAGTGTCCTGGTCCACTACTCTGGTGTGTGTGTGGGTGAGTAGTGTCCTGGTCCACTACTCTGGTGGGTGGGAGTAGTGTCCTGGTCCACTACTCTGGTGTGTGGGTGAGTAGTGTCCTGGTCCACTACTCTGGTGTGTGGGAGAGTAGTGTCCTGGTCCACTACTCTGGTGGGTGTGTGGGTGAGTAGTGTCCTGGTCCACTACTCTGGTGTGTGGGAGAGTAGTGTCCTGGTCCACTACTCTGGTGTGTGGGTGAGTAGTGTCCTGGTCCACTACTCTGGTGTGTGGGTGAGTAGTGTCCTGGTCCACTACTCTGGTGTGTGGGTGAGTAGTGTCCTGGTCCACTACTCTGGTGTGTGGGAGAGTAGTGTCCTGGTCCACTACTCTGGTGGGTGTGTGGGTGAGTAGTGTCCAGGTCCACTACTCTGGTGTGTGGGTGAGTAGTGTCCTGGTCCACTACTCTGGTGTGTGGGTGAGTAGTGTCCTGGTCCACTACTCTGGTGTGTGGGAGAGTAGTGTCCTGGTCCACTACTCTGATGGGTGTGTGGGTGAGTAGTGTCCTGGTCCACTACTCTGGTGTGTGGGTGAGTAGTGTCCTGGTCCACTAATCTGGTGTGTGTGGGAGAGTAGTGTCCTGGTCCACTACTCTGGTGTGTGGGTGAGTAGTGTCCTGGTCCACTACTCTGGTGTGTGGGTGAGTAGTGTCCTGGTCCACTACTCTGGTGGGTGTGTGGGTGAGTAGTGTCCTGGTCCACTACTCTGGTGGGTGTGTGGGTGAGTAGTGTCCTGGTCCACTACTCTGGTGGGTGGGTGTGAGAGTAGTGTCCTGGTCCACTACTCTGGTGGGTGTGTATGAGAGTAGTGTCCTGGTCCACTACTCTGGTGGGTGTGTGGGTGAGTAGTGTCCTGGTCCACTACTCTGGTGGGTGTGTGGGTGAGTAGTGTCCTGGTCCACTACTCTGGTGTGTGGGTGAGTAGTGTCCTGGTCCACTACTCTGGTGTGTGTGGGAGAGTAGTGTCCTGGTCCACTACTCTGGTGTGTGGGTGAGTAGTGTCCTGGTCCACTACTTTGGTGTGTGTGGGAGAGTAGTGTCCTGGTCCACTACTCTGGTGTGTGGGTGAGTAGTGTCCTGGTCCACTACTCTGGTGTGTGGGTGAGTAGTGTCCTGGTCCACTACTCTGGTGTGTGGGTGAGTAGTGTCCTGGTCCACTACTCTGGTGTGTGGGAGAGTAGTGTCCTGGTCCACTACTCTGGTGTGTGGGAGAGTAGTGTCATGGTCCACTACTCTGGTGTGTGGGTGAGTAGTGTCCTGGTCCACTACTCTGGTGTGTGGGTGAGTAGTGTCCTGGTCCACTACTCTGGTGTGTGGGTGAGTAGTGTCCTGGTCCACTACTCTGGTGTGTGGGAGAGTAGTGTCCTGGTCCACTACTCTGGTGTGTGGGAGAGTAGTGTCCTGGTCCACTACTCTGGTGTGTGGGTGAGTAGTGTCCTGGTCCACTACTCTGGTGTCTGTGAGTAGTGTCCTGGACACCAGATTAGAGCCACTGTTAGCCTTACTGATTATAGGTCACAGTTCGACTTAAGTAAAAATAACATTGGATGGCTAACTATCAAATTGTGAGACGCTGGGTTGTTGGACAGTTAGAAATAGGACTGTTGATAGAGGGAAGCACAAGAAGGTTGAAGTTGACACTGGAGGCAATCGATCAACCCGTTATCTCAACTAATAGGTCGTATTTTTCACGTTATGATACCTAACATTACAAATGCATCTTACTTTGCACAGGAACGGCTCACAGATAACGACGTTTTTTATGCATCTGTCTCGTAAGGTTTGGTGGGTTGCCTGGGTTTGAATGTGCCTGGTTAGGTTAGGAGTTTTTTTTTTTAACTGAGTGGCAAATTTTAAATTAAAATTTTGCCCCGAGGGGCGAGTTTATTGGGCAGCGCCACTCATCTTGTGAGTGAACACGCCGCCATAGCAGAATGTACAACACTCCCCAATAGGAAGAAAACCCGCTGGGTTGTTCATCCTGTCACTTGTACCCAGACACAGCTGTTCAAGAGAATGGCCTGTTATCAGTGGATAAGAAGCAGGTCCATGGAGCTGAAATTCAGTCTTCACGACCACAAATATAAGCTGTTAAAGACATGTACTTGCACAGACATAAACAAATACTTGCAAACACAAACACAACAAAGATAGTCCTAACCAACACACAACGTAACAACAACCCTAGTTAGGATTTTTTTGTACATTGTTACAACGCTAGTTGAACTACACATTGTTACATCCCTAGTTTGACTATTTTAACGTCGTGGCAACGTTCAAAACGTTGTAGTAAAGTTGTAGGAATGTTGCAAGCTGTATCCCTCACCTGCCCAGGTTGAACTTGTCGATGCTGAGCTGGACGAGGTCCCCGTACATGTCCCCGGAGGCGATGAAGGTGAGCTGGCAGAAGTGAGGCAGAGTCCCCCTGGTGGGCTTGGACACCTGCAGGGTGTACGTCGACCCCACTCGCCCGTAGTACGTCCGGTTGCACGCTGTCAGGGACACACACACATGTATTACCAACTCTGATGTTAAATAAATTTTCGCATACATATATTAGGAGGAACCCGGCTGTGCCTGGGGTCTTTCTCCCCCACCCCCCTCGTCCCCTCCCTTTCCTCTTTCCCTCATCTTCCAATCTCTCTCCCTACTCTCCCCTCTCTTCGTCTTCCTAGTACTACCATAACAATCTTCCATCGTGACTAAGTTAATATGCAAGCTGAATCTTAATGAGGAAGGAATTTTTTTATTTACCGAGATGGAAAATCAGTGGCTTAACAAAAATTAGTAAAGAAATTCAGCTTTTTCATAAAATGCCTCCTTTCAAAATTTGTTGCAAGAGTAGTGATGAAGTTTACACTGGGGAAGCTGTTGAAGGTTAGAGGTTACACTATATATATATATATATATATATATATATATATATATATATATATATATATATATATATATATATATATATATATATATATATATATATATATATATATATATATATATATATGAGCATATATATATATATATATATAATATTTAAACAGGTCGAGCATGTAATACGATATGTTCATTCGTGTGTGATTTTGATCAACGTGTTAAACGGAACACCGCTAAGAATGGCAGCAGTAGAGGTAAAGGTCACAGAAGCCCCCCAACACCCAGCCTGTGAGCGGTAATGGAAAAGGTCACAGAGGTCGATATAAAAGTCGATGCAACACAGTCACTGTTCTCTAAGAAGACATTGGGGAAAAGAATCGTAACTGAGCTATTCAGAGACGGTGATCAATATGCAAGTGAATACAATTTCCCGTTTCACTGTGACTCGACGTGGGAAAATTTGATTCAAATCGCCGGAGTGTTTGCCATCAGGAGGGATCAGAGGAGAGACCTGTCATCGCTCCAAGATCAGAATTTGACTCCAGCCGACGATCTCAGCAGTTCTGCGTGGATCCAGGCCAGGCAAATCTCCAAGGCAGCTGTATGTCAGCATTTCCCATGTTGATCTGATTTCGAATTCCGAAAGCCAAGGTTTCTCGAGCAGTCGGGCCAAGTTTGTGGAGTTTGGGCCGCAGAGGCAGAAAGTAGTCAAGGAAAGGAGATTAAAACTGGATCTTTTGAGTTTACCGTCGCCTCGCAACACAAGTTTACCCTCCGGTATTCCCTCGTCACACCAGCCTACAGATTCGTGTCAAGGTAAGCCCGACGCTGTGCTATAAACCAGTTACATAACCGGGCTGGAGGATGGGCCGCATCTTCAACAATGCTGCCATGTCCGGCTGCTATTTTTTCCATTATTTATGACAACTCTCTCGTGATAGTGTGTGTTTGTCTTATAATATGGAATTATACTGTTTTTTCAGACACAAGTCGTATGGAAATGGTAAGTTATTTTCGTGGGCTTGTTTACACCAACATACATGTTGTAAATAAGAGCACATCAACTTTGTATATATGGTTCTGCACAAGTGCTGTCGAACACGTTACAATGTAAATCACATTTCAGTGCACAAAGTGGGACAGCACACACTTTATAGTATGGGATCTGAAAAGCTTCTACTATTGCTCCAGCGACGTCATTTATGTTTCTTGACGGGAGGTTGACGAGTCTTGGGCCTCTGATGTTATACCGTGTGGACTCTAGTCGTGCCGATGATACCAAGACTGGCCAGGGATGCCTCCGTGCCTCACGAACCCAAACCATATCGTTCGTGAGGCACGGAGCGAATGTGTTACCACTGCACCACCAACTGCTTTTCTGGGTAAATCAAAATTAGGACACGTCTGATGGCGAGTGTAACGGTTGAAGAAGTCTGGTCATTTTGACTGTTGTATAATTACCAGAGCTAGATTGTCTCCGGTAGACAGTCTTTATGTCGCGTCTCGCTTCCCTGTCAATGCCGTGCATTAACCCACATGCCTGTCTGTCGTGCATTGTTACACATCTCTGTCTATGATATGCAGTCGTTGTACATCCCTGTTTATGGTACGAGTCTTAACATACGTCTGCCGCCTTGCTTTCCA